ATGGCTCAGTGGTTAAGAGCACTGGCTGTTCTTCCAGAGGTGGCTGAGTTCAATTCCCAGCAGCCACATGGTGGTTCACAACCATATATAATGAGATCTGATGCCCTCTTCTAGCATGCAGACATACATGCAGGCAAGAACAGTGTACACATAATAAATAAGTTTAAAAAGAGAGAGAGAAACACAAATCCTTGTGTTGAAAGAACATGGATGTGTTTTGTTTTTGTTTTTGTTTTTTTTAAATTACTGAGCAAGGTATGTGATTTATTGTGCCTGCAATCCCAGTCAGTGCTTAGGAGGCTGAGGCAGGAGGGTTTACTGCAAGTTCAGGACCAGCCTGGGCTACATAGTAAGGCAGTATCTCAAATATAAGGATTTTTTTTAAATCTATTTTTAGTTTTCTGAGGCCCTTTTGTCCAGTTTAGGAGTTATAGACTCAGTTTTCTCAGTAGTCCTGAGGGTATTAGTGGGAAAGAAGGCTAATGTCATGGTCAAAGTCAAGAAATGTAATCTGGGCCTGGAGACATGGCTCAGCAGTTAAGAGCTCTGGCTGTTCTTCCAGAGTACCTGGGTTCTATTCCCAGCAACCACATGGCAGCTCACAGCTGTCTGTAACTCCAGTTCCAGGGAGCCCAACATCCTCACTCAGATATACATGCAGGCAAAACACCAACAAACATGAAATAAAAAAATAAATTTAAAAAAGAACTGGGCATTGGTGGTGCACACCTTTAATCCCAACACTTGGGAGGCAGAGGCAGGTGGATCTCTGTGAGTTGGAGGCCAGCCTGGTCTCCAGAATGAGTGCCAGGATAGGCTCCAAAGCTACACAGAGAAACCTTGTCTCGAAAAAAACCAAATAAACAAATAAATAAAAATAAAAAATTAATTAATTAATTAAAAAGAAATGTCATCAATGAAGGTTGATTTATTGTTGGGTTTGGGATAAAGTATTTCTGTGTAGCAACAGCTGGCCCAGAACATGCTCTCTACCTGCTCAGATGGGATTAAAGGCCTGCCACACCCCTCTGGTCACATAGATGAGGTCACATCTTCCCTTGTCTCCTCTGGGGCCAAGGCTCTGCCACCTCCTAGCAAGCAAGGTTAGTATCCTGAGTCATATATATGCCAGTATCCTTCCAGTGAGTCTGGGTGCCCTTGCAATAATTCATCTTTTTTGCACTCTTTTCTTCTCCAGTTTATTTCTGGCATCCTGGCGGCTCTAAGCGCCATGATTTCTCTAGAAATCCCACAAGTTAACATCATGACAAAGATGGACCTGCTGAGTAAGAAAGCCAAGAAGGAAATTGAGAAGTGAGTTCAGGGCTGTCTCTCCCCAGTGGGGCTCTGTTTGGGATGAGCCTTCTGCCCCACCTAGACAGGTTCCGAGGTATCCGTCTCTTCCCTCATGTAGTCCTCCTCCTTTGTCTCCCTTCTCACCTATACAGGTTTCTAGATCCAGACTTATACTCTCTGCTAGAAGATTCAACAGGTGACTTAAGAAGCCAAAAATTCAAGAAGTTGACGAAAGCTGTGTGTGGCCTGGTAAGCTTCACAGTGCTTCCTTTCAGACCTTCTTGAATGACTCCTCAGGTATCTGCCACGGCCAGCTAATGTCTGCCCACAGCCAGCTAGTGTCCACCTGTGTTTGAGCCTTCACACTTTCATCACTTCAAGTGACTCTGGAATTGAGATGGGTACCAGTGAAATAGCATCTGGTTACCTAGTAACCAGCTATGTGCTATTGAGTCAGAAGTCTGTTTCCAGCTTTCCCTTTCCTAGTCCAGTGCATGTGTGTATTTGCTTGCTTATTTGGTTTCCTTTATTTGTGTGTGCATGCATTTGTGCCAGGAAGACAAGCTTCGGGAGTTGATTCTAAGGATGAACTTGGGTTGTCAAGCTTGGCAGCAAGCACCTTTACCTGCTGAGCTGAGTTATACTTTTTTTTTTTTTTTTTTTTTTTTGAGACAGGTTTTCTCTGTGTAGCTTTAGAACCTGTCCTGGAACTTGCTGTGTAAATCAGGCTGGTCTTGAACTCACAGAGATCCACCTGCCTCTGCCTCCTGAGCACTGGGATTAAAGGTGTGAGCCACCACCATTCCACTCCACTTCTAAGAGGAGAGTGTAAGAGTAAGAGCCATTGCCAGGCTGTGGTGAAACATGCCTTTAATCCTAGCACTTGGGAGGTAGGTGATGTCTGTGAGTTCAACGCCAGCCTGGACTACACAGAGAAACTCTTGCAAAAAAAAAACCACCCCGGACCCAAGATGGAAATGATATGCTGTATACCCTCAAGTGACCCTCTTGTGAACCACACTCCCATAGATTGATGACTACAGCATGGTTCGGTTTCTGCCATATGATCAGTCGGATGAGGAGAGCATGAGCATCGTGCTGCAGCACATCGACTTTGCCATTCAGTATGGGGAGGACTTGGAGTTTAAGGAGCCAAAGGTAGCTTGGGATTCGGGATGTGAACTCTCTTGAGGTCCCCTGAGAGGAGGGAATTCATTTTCTGTTTTGTCTTTCTTTTGTGTCAGGAACAGGAAGAAGAGTCTTCCTCCATGTTTGACGAATATTTTCAAGAACGGCAGAATGAGTGAGGTTGACTACACAGTGGCCATCTGATTGTGACCCTAGGAATGCTTTTGGAAGAGGTGACCATGGGAAGCAGCTGCTTGTAAACAATGCTGGTCTCTCCCTGGAGTGAGCCTGGATTGTGCTCTGAGCTCTGAAACCACTACTCTTTCAAGAAGAGATTTTATTCTGACAGCATCATTTTGGATTTAAAAAAATTGAAGTAACAATTTATGCAGAGACTTTATATAATATAAATCAACCTGCCCTACACATCTCTTGTTCTTGTGTGTGTGTGTGTGTGTGTGTATGTATGTGTGCACACTCCAGTGCACTTGAGTCTAATTTTAATTTTATTTACAGTTGGATTTTTGTTTTTTGAGGGATTTTCTTTTGATTGATTTGTTTGTTTTTGAAGAGGTACAATTATTGTAACAAAACATATCTCCAAATGAAAAAATATTGGAAGGGTATATATACATGAATCTTATTTTCCCAAATCAAACATTATTTATACAATTAAAAATTAAAACTGTGTTTTGAGATATGTATTTATGAATGTATGTGTTGGAAAGAAATAGGTCCTCCCTTTTTTTGTATTTTGAGAGTGTTTCTCTGTGTAGTCCTGACTATCCTGGAACTCACTCTGTAGACCAGGCTAGCATCGAACTCGGAGATCCCCTGCTTCTGTTTCCCAAGTGCTGGGATTAAAGGCAAGTGTTACATGGATGGGCAGTGGTGTTGCACTTTACTCCCATGGTGGTCCCTGACTGTCTCAATGTGACAAGGAAGACAGGGAGATGAAACACCACAAGTAGACATCATAAAACTGAGCAACCAGGAGTGATGGGGACCACACCTGTGATGCCAGCATAAAAGTATTCAAGAGGATGGCTCATAAATTCAAGACACATGTATCCAGTTTGAGACCAGCCTGGACATTGTAAGAATCTTCCACAAGAAAATAAAAATAGGGACTGGAGAGATGGCTCAGCAGTTAAGAGCACTGACTGTTCTTCCAGAGGTCCTGAGTTCAATTCCCAGCAACCACATGGTGATTCACAACCACCTTGAATGAGATCTGGCGCCCTCTGCTGGCATGCAGGCAGAAGACTATAATAATAAAATCTTAAAAAAGAAAAGAAAAATAAGGGCCGCCGAGATGACTCAAGTGCAAAGGTACCCGGAGACCTGAGATCGGTGCCCAGAGTCCCCATGGTGGAAGGTGAGCACCAACTTCGACTCCCCACGTGGGCTGCGGTAAAAATAAAAACTTGACAGTGGAGGAGGATAAATCAGGGAGCTGAGTGGTACCGGATTTGAAACAGGCCAGGGAATTTAAAAAAAAAAAAGCGGGAGGTGATTATTAACCTCTGAAGGACTCTTTAATTGTAAAGCTGCGTGCGCGCGTTTTATGAATGCGCTACACACTCAGCCTATTGCTCGCACATCCCTGGCGTCCTTTCCGGTCAGAGCGGTCGCAGCAACCGGGAGGCGGAAGCTAAACCGGAAGTGCATCTCTTCGCTTCGCCCGCCTCTTCCGGCTCACTTCCGCCCACTCCACCCAGGTTCGCTGGCCGGAAGCGTTCCGCTTTACCTGGGTCCTGCTTCTCTGGATCGAATCCGGACACCTCCAAAATGCCGGTAAGGCTTCGAGCCCCGAGGGTGGAGAGGCGAGCGGGGCAAGGGCCAGAAGAGAGGCGGGAGGCCGCGGTAGAAGTCCGGGGAGAGAGAAAACAGCTGCCCTGCTCTCCAGCCCCAGCCCTTTGCTCCAGTCCTTTTCTCGCAGGGCTGCTTTCTTCCTAGTCCTGCAGTGTTCCCAGATCCCACCCGAGAGCCTCGAAGTTAAGAACGACGGCTTTTAACTTATTTTTAAATCTAGGGTCCAGCTTCCCCTTTTCTCTCCCCGTTGTCACTTCCACTTCCTCCTCCGCCCCATGGAGTGGGTCAGCCTGCTGCTAAACACCTGTCGGGCTTCGCTTCCCTGACCGATCCCTACCTCGTTCTCCCTGCTGTAGCTCCAGACCACGATCGAGACAGCGCTGGTTTCTAGGAGTTTTCTTTTTCGTGTGCTTTCGAGTGGGAGGAAAAATTGGTGATGGGCGATGTGTCTTGACATTTGACTGCCGGTCTCCATCATGGGTTCTGTTTTGCAGATTAGTAAAGGGATGCGTGAATAAATCCACATTGGACAAGCATCCCTGAACTCTCACTAGGAAACCAGCACTGTTAACAGCAGCTACCAAGGCCTGCTCAAGGAGCTTACAATTAAACCGTCAGGGGAAGGAACTCGTCTGCAATTTCAGAGCTGGGAAGGGTTAGAGATCCCTGAGGCTCCTTGTCCCAAAACTAAAGTGGAAAAAGCAGTTGTGGAAGAGACCTGGCTTCCATGTGTAGATGTACACATACACCTGCATGCACACATGAACACTTATACACTACACACAAACATGCATGAGTGATGTATGGACATGTGCAAAGAAGAAAACCAACACAGTACCCCATGACAGAGAGGGCACCAGGCTGGTGTAGATACGGTGTACTTGGGTCAAAAAGGAGAGCAAGTGTAAGTTTCAGCTCTGTGTATGTGTTTTAGCAGTGCTGGGAATTGAACCCAGAAACTCATGGCAGGCTATATAGATCCTCTACCACTGAGCTATATCCCCTCCTCCTTTTTACCCTATTTTGAGGAAGGGTCTCATAAAGTTGCCCAGGCTGGCCTTGAACTTGTGATGCTCCTGCCTCAGCTTCCCAAGTAGCTAGGATCACAGGCCTGCATCACCAAGTTCAGCTTTGTAAGGTTTATGAGTCTTGATGAGTCTTAGAGTTGCTGAGTGTATGTGGAGACCCAGGGTTACTGTCCAGATGAGACCTTCATTCCCAGGATGACACTATGAAGTAGATGTCCTTATTGTGATGGTTTTGCTGAAGGAACTAGGGCTCAGAGAATTAATGTGACTTGTGCAGTGTTTCTCACAAGAAGTGAAGCCAGAGTTTAAGCCAGAAAGGAAAGCTCTGTGCTCATTCCAGTTGGACACAGAAAGTTCTGGACTTAACCTATGATAATTTATTTTATGTCTGCTTTCTCTGTTAGCATGAAATATCACATGTGTGCCTATATATGTGATATTTGTGTGATATATGAGATCTCATGTCAGGGCCTAGAGAGATGGCTCGGCAGTTATGAGTGCTTGCTGCTGTTAGAAGCACATATACTTGGTGTCACACAAAGAAACACATAAACAAAGCAAAAGCAACTTAACAGCAATTTTTTTCCAAAAAAAACCCAAAAGATGTACCATGACCTGGACACAAACAGAGTTAGCAAGCACAATGGGATGGGGTGGGTAGTTCACATAGTTTTTATTCTCACTCAAGTAGTGACTGTGTCTTTCATGACTATCTAGTTTTAAAAGAGTCTTCACGTAGGAAATGAAGGGTACGGGAAAGGGTCAGCCCCTTGGGCCACCAGGTTCTAGCAATGTAGCAATGCCTTTGGATAACAGAAGTGGTACCAGGTGGGGAGATTAAAAGATATGTGGAGGTGCTGGGCGGTAGTGATGAATGCCTTTAGTCACAGGCAGATCTCTGTGAGTTCGAGACCAACCTGGTCTACAAAGCTCCACTGAGAAACCCTGTCTCAAAAAACCAAAAGAAAGAAAAAGAAAATGTGTGGAGAGATGGCTTAGGGATTAAGAGCACTGGCTGCTCTTCCAGAGATTCTGAGTTCAATTCCCAGCAACCACATGGTGGCTCACAACCATCTATAATGGGATCTAATACCCTCTTCTGGCATACAGGCATACAAAAAAATAGAAATAAATTTAAAAGTTTTAAATGTACATAAAAGATTTACTAGGTGGGGCAGATTGGCTCTTGAAGGGCTAGCTACCATTGACATCAGAAAAGCCCTATTCTCACACTGCTCTTAATAGAGCACTAGAATTTTGTTCCCAGCATCCATATCCATCAGCTCACAACAGCCAGGTCCAGGGAACCCAACAACCACTTCTGAAACACTCTGGGCACTGTATACACATAGAAATCCCCATACATAGACACAATACATATACATAATTAATACATTTGTTTGTTTCTGGTTTTGTTTTGAGACAGGGTTTCTCTGTGTAGCTTTTTTTTGGAGCCTGTCCTGGCACTCACTCTGTAGACCAGTCTGGCCTCGGAACTTACAGAGATACATCTGCCTCTGCCTTCTGAGTGACTGCATTAATGGTGTTCGCCACCACTGCCCAGCCATTAGAATATTCTTTCATCTTAAAAAAAAGTTACATTGTCACTCATTTTATCTTGCACAAAAAAAGTTGCTTAGCTATCATTTGATGAATGAATGGTTTTGTTCACAGCAGACATAAAAAGCAAAACCAGGAACCAGCATGTGAAGTTGTTCATCAGTACGACTTTCCCTGTCCTTTAGCTCATACCTACTCACCAGAGGTGTGGTGTATCTTACTCCTTTCACAAGCTTAGAAAGAGGCTAGTGGGAATTGCGGTAGAGTTTAGCTGGTAGAGCACTTGCCTCATGTGCCTGAAACCAGTACTGTGGTTATCTAGACCTATCATCGCAGCACAGGCACTGGGGAGGTAGAGATGGGAAGATGCCCTCAGAGTCCGTCCTCACCCACATAGTGAGAGGTTGAAGGGGTGGGGGTGGGGAAACAGGCTCAAGGAAGAGTCATGCAGTCTTGATTGGAGACAGATAGAGGAAGTGGCAGATTTCAAAACTAGGGCTTGGGTCCTGGCTAGCTGGAGGATGGGAAACCTGTTTTGTGTGGTTTCTTTTGTGGAATGCTCCCACCAGAAGGAAACACATCCTCACATACCACATTTCTAGCCTAAGGATATAATCCCAGGAGGCAGAGGCAAACTGACCACTGTAAACTTGAGGTCTGCTTGGTCTACCTAAGGAGTCCCAGGCCTGACAGGGCTGCTGAGTGAATCCCTGTCTCCAAAAGAGCTGGTGCTGGGGAGAAGGAAGATTCAATTGGCCAAGTGCTTGCCACTCTAACATAAGGACTCCACAACAGTAGCCAGTCATGGCAGCAAACCCTATAAACCTAGTGCTGCAGAGGAAAACAGGAGGGTCTCTGGGTTTGTTTGCTGGCCATGGAGCCAGTAGATGAGCTTCAGTTTCAGTGAGAGCCCCTGTCTCAGATACAAAGGTGGGGACACATTGAGGAAGACACCTGACACTGACTTCTGACCTCTGCACACAAACACATGTATGCCTACACACATGTGCCCCCAGATCCATGAAGACAAACATACAAAATAGTAATAAGATAGAAGAGAATGTTAAGTACATAGGCAGCGGGCTGGAGAGATGACTCAGCTGTTAAGAGCACTGACCGAACTTCCAGAGGGCCCCAGTTGGATTCCCGGAAACCACAAGACAGCTCACACCTGTCTGTAACTCCAGTTCTAGGGGGTCTGACACCTTAACACAGACATGAATGCAGGCAAAAACACCAGTACATGTGAAATAAGATTAAATAAATTGCTTTTTCAAAAAAAGGAAGAAAGGCCG